GAGCGACTCGTAAGTGGAACAAGTCCCATACGGACACCCATTGACAAGGCAGGAATACTAAAAAACCCCCAAGATGTCAATTTTACAGTTGCTCTCTGGCTCTTTTCTGCCCGTAACCACACTTCAAACACTAGTTTATGATGCAGACAGCCAGCAACCTCCTGCTGGAAGCTTGTGGAACAAACTACCCACTTTGCAGAGATAGCAACACCCCAGGTAGACACGGGCAAGCCAGCTCGCTTGAAGGCTGAGCCAGGACAAGAGGACTTGCTTGGCTCTGGGCTGCAAACCACAGCTCTGAGCCATTGATGCTGCCCATCTGCATGTGAAAAAGCAAACATCTCCATAAAAATCCTGGTGAATGGCAGAAAACGGTGCTGGGGAACGTTCCCACTGGCTTGGCTTCTCCTTAGCCCTGGCAGCAGGGCTGTGCCACAGCCAACGCTTGGCTAGAGCCAGCCTCAAACCACTCGCCCACCTCCATGGTGGCTGTAAACCCTCTCCCACCCACTGTGGGTGTTGGAACAAGGGAGAGGCTGTGAGCCTGGAGCTTTGAAAACCTGTTAGCAAAATGCCAACTGGTTGGTCAGAGCTGCTTTTCCTTACAAAAAGAAACTGGTCTGGGATGACACAAACCCTCCTGTATTGCAAAACCTCACCCACCAAGGGGCAGCTCTGGAAACGGTGCCTGGAAATTGGCTCTCTGCAGAGGGTGGACCCAAGAGCTGCCTGAGTTTGGGGTGAGGATGGAGGTGGCAGAACTCACACGGCCGCCCCTGGGATGGACCTGCTGCACGGCACCAAGAGCTCGCTTCAGCTCTCTCCCATGTAGCTTCCTCCTGCCATTGAAGGCAGGGGAGATCCACACTTGATAGCGGCACTGTCACCCCCCCAGCTGGTTCCTGGGGTAGTTGGCAGTGACACCCCAGAGCACATGGGGAGTCTGAAGCGCAGCAAATGGGTCAGGCAGATGCTCTCCAAGACACAACACTCTCACTCTGTTTGCTGGGCCTTAAAACTCCAGTGTCCCTGGATCCATCAGTCCAACGGCTTCAAAGTTACCTAGATAAACTGACCCTGTGGCCAGCTGTTTGGGAACTGATGGGGCTCTGTGACAGAAGATGGTCAGGGAGAGGAAAGGAAGCCTGTGGAGGTGGTGACTGAGAAAGGACTGCTGGGCATAAGAGAATTTACCCAGAGAAAGCCTTTGTGAATGCCCCAGTCAGTGGGAAACCTTCCACTCGCCCACCCTGCTAATGGAGTTAAGAGTTTCTCCTCCTTTCACCTCACCTCTGGAACAAGATTTATTTCCAGCCCTCTTGATATGCAATAGCTGCACAGCAGCCCCGGAGCACGGTCCCATGCTGTACCCAGCACTTGGCTCACCCCAAAAGCCCAGCCATAACCTCGTACACTTGCTGTTTACCACATTCCCTCAGTCTGTGTTGATGCCACTGCAAAGGCTGGGGCTCTCCAGCCAGCAGAGCGTGTAAAAATGACCATAAAGACCAACGAGGTCACACCGAGAGCCACCAGTCCCTATGGTTTTCTGCAGCATAACAAGCCCCAGGCTGCAAGCAAACCCTACTGATCACCCTGCAGGTCTCATTAATGCACTTCACCCTCCTGAAGATCATCACTTAAAACAACAAAGAGACAGGCAGGTGGCACACCCTTAAATAGAGAGGTTTTCATATGGGTTAAGCACTGGCCTGGAGCCAGACCGCAGCTCTGAAAGCTCAGGGCAGGAGGAAGGGACTTAGGATCTGAACTCCCAATTTCACAACTACCCCCATGCACGCATCGGGACCAGCCCAAACCCCCACATTGAGGAGGCTGAAGCCAGATCTCGATCTGAATTCGGTGGCTTGGGCTAGTTTCAAGAATCACAAATTACCTCTACTTATTATTATTATTATTAATAATAGTGTTATTTTATGCCGGAGCTTTGAGGTTCATTGTGATACGCACACAAGCGGTTAGAGCAGGGCTGAAACACGCTGCTGGCAGGAGCAGTGGGATTTGCATTGTCTCCAGCAGCTCCCAGCCAAACCCTGCCTGAACTCCACAATGGGAGCACACCACGGGCAGGTCTCGGCACTGCTTGAGCTCCAAGCCAGCCCCCAGCCTGAGGAGTTCACCTCGAATTCCCACAGGATTCAACCTCCTGGACCTTCACTGTGAGCACCACCGGCCAGGTCCATCCCCTGCAGTGACCACAAGCACAGGGCTGGCCCATAGAATCAGAGCATCAGAGAACGGTTTGGGTTGGAGGGGCCTTGAGGATCATCCAGCTCCAACCCCCACCCACAGGCAGGGACACCTTCCACTAGAAGGTTAAAAAGTCAAAGAAGGACCAAACTTTTAGTAAAGAAGAGAAAAGAACCATCAATTTTTAGTAAAAGAAGGACCAAAACTGTAAATTAAAAATGTTGCTTCAACCTACAAAAGGAGGGAGAATGAGAGCTTGAAGAGGACCCACCGGAGCACCCCTTTTCCATCTTGACTTCCAACAGATGTCCAAGAGCTCAGCCTGAGCTGCTGAGCATCTTCACACTGCACCAGAAACCTCCTCCATACCCCCTAGAAAAGCACCCTCACAAGCAGCATTTGTGCTGATGCCAACTGCTCCTGCACCTCCTAGGACCTGGCCCAAGCCCCTCGGTGGGCATTTATCCCTTTAAATCCCTGTCTTCAGCCAATGGGAGCAGCTCTCACTGCAAATGCTCCATGTCCTCAGGTTCAAGGAGTGGGTAATTACTATTGAAAGGTGTGATTGCAGCCAAGCCGCTGGCTAATCAGCTGCTGATTTTGCTCTAATGCCTTAGATCACTCAGAAACATAATCTGGAGGTGGAGGGAGGGATGGGGAGCACTAACTGGAATTACTGTGGAAATGCAGTATCCCCTTCCACATCTAAACACTGCACAATTAGAGCACTGACTCAGTTACCTCCTTATTCATCAGGCCAAGTCCCAAGCTAAGGAACATGGATGTATTTCCTTCTCCAGCCCCTTTCTGCACCACGTCAAATGTGGCTCACCCAGGCACAAGTAAAGAGGGGAAGGATGCACAATGGTTTGGAGATTTCTTTATCATGGACTACTGACCCTTTGGATGGTGTAAGGCAATTCAAGCAATGGATTACTGTGACTACTTTATGTCTAGCTATTCCACAAAACAGTGTCTTTAAAATGCTGTACAAACTAAACCCCATGCTTCGTGCATAGGGTACTTTATAAGTGCACCATCTTGTAGACAGGCTGCATTAATAGCTGGGGTCTGGTTTGATGCATTGGAGACCACGAGGAAGCACCTGGTTGATTTGGCCCCAGGGAACAACTAGTGGCTTATTGAAACTCTGAGCCCCACAATCACCATAGCCAGGACCACAGCAGAGCAGGTAGCTCTCAAAAATGACCACTACACAGCTGAAACCTACCACTGCATCCCTAACAACATCTCCCCACTAAACAAGCCACCCCGTGGCACAGCAAGGGCAGGGGCACTTAGCAAAGCATTGTACATCCCCTTGGCCAAGCTCTTTGCATGCCAGAAAGACACAGTGGAAAGCTGATACTGTGCTGAGAACTTCATCCTCTCCTTGCTGCAGAGCTGAGAGCCCATCACCAGCCATGGGGTGCTGGGACAGAAAACACTCCCCGAGCCATAGCCATAGGGTGTTGTCCCTCCTTGTGCAAAGAGGAGATTAGAAACCAGGATCTTACACTACAAACAACGGTGCTTTCCTTCTGGATTTCAGCAGATCCATTTCTTTCCCTCCCCTTTTTAATTCATTGATAAAAATCCCTCTGAAAAATAATGCCCCTTTTTTTCAACCCATGAGGATTCCCACACATTCCCCCTCCTGCTGTCAAGGGGAGGGTGGCCCTGGGATGCCAGCACAGGGGAAAAGGACACCAACCTGCCTTCTCTTCACATGGGAATCACCTTCAGTGAGCTGGCACAACGGCTGTTGGTTTTGGATGCAAAGCCTGGAGCGTTGGGGTGGATGTAATCAGACTGACCTCTCCTGTTTTCTGAGTCAATGCTCTTGGATCAGGCAAGGCAGGCACAAGATGTTGAGAATTAATCAGCATCTGGAGCTGCTTCATTGGGGAAATGGCACGTGGTGGGAGCAAGGAGCCTCATCGCAGCTGAAGCAAGGATCCCTAATGCTCTGCTAGAGCCTTCCTGAGGCCATCATGAGCTGCTGCAGAAGAAAGCTCCTATAAAGCACGGAGCACTCACAGCCCCACTATGGAGCCAGCTGAAAGCACTCAGCATCCTTGAAGGTGAAGCTCCAGGTGGTGATTGCAAGGAGGGAAGCACCAATCCCACTGGGAGAGCTTTGATTGGGGGTCACGGCACAAGCCCAATCCCCCACGTTCCCTTAAAACTGTCCAGTAATGCCTGGTATTTGCCTTCAGACCCCTACCCAGGCAGAGATGTCTCCTCTCATACATGGACACACTCCACAGTCACCCCGATGTACTCCTGGTTCTTCCTTTGACACATGCTGCCAGACCAGTAAAACTGGATTTGATTTTCTTCAGGGGATTTCTTTCTTTTTCCCTCCCTATCCCAAAATACATCCGTCCTACCCCAGTAATCCAGAAAAATATGTGGGTGTTAGCTGTGCAGTTTCGGGTCATTTTGGGGACCTCGGATTCGTCACTTTCTCAGGGACAGCCTGTTTCTCAGCCCGTCTCAAAGAAACAGACCTCTTGGTCTGGACACCAAACCTGGACCATGAGCCCCCAAAAGAGAAAGGATCTGATTCTTTGAGCCAGCTTGGGACAAATGATAAGGTGACGGAGCAGCAAACAACTACATAAGCCCATAAGGAGTTGTATGGAGAGCAGAAGACAGAAGCCTGCCTTCCTACAGACAGTCCTCAGCATCTGTGTACTCTGAGGTCTAGTACAGGTTGAAGCTCATGCTGATGCTCTTTTTCTCAGCAGTGTTTTACTGCATCTTCACAGATTCCCATAAAACCCTGGTCTCTTGCACATCCTCTTTGTCACATGTGGCTGAAACTGGAGCAGGAGTTCAAAAGGAGGATGCAGGGCACTGATGAGGGAGGAGGAGACACACATCTACATACTGGCATTCTGCTTGGTTTCAGTTCAGGCACATAAAAGGGATGCTGAGAAGCTTCACTAACAAGAGATTGAAAACAAAACCCCCCGACCGCTTTCTACAGAGCAAACATTGCCCACTCCAGGCCCTGGGGCCGGTGGCATGGAGACGGTCCCATCCCAGGACCGGCAGAGCAGCGCTGTCCCGGACAGAGTGATCCAAACCCCTCCTTTGTTTCTCCTCTCTTTGAGTTTTCTTTGCCCTTTTTTTTCCCTTCCTCTTTCTTTTCCTCTTGGGTTTTTTTCTCTCCCTCCAAGGTAACAATGCCTCCTTTCAGGCACTGCCAAAGCCCTGCTCAAGCCCACTCAGATAAGAGCTGGCAGGAAAGGTAACTGCCATCAATATTTGGGTGAATGTTAACTACCTGAGGACAGGCTGGGTGGGGGATCACAACAGGCGGTTGCGAGCACCTGGGCTATGTTTAAAACCACCACATTTAAAGTCATCTCCCTCCCCGGATCCTCCTGCATCCCCAAGTGAAGTCTCTCCAGCGTTAGTGGCTGTGTAAGACAGCGCTTAACCAAGTCGGGGCTAAGTCAAGAGCCGTGCTCCACGTGAAGGTACGTTTTCATGACGCTTCTCTTGCGGCTGCTTCATTTACTCCCCTTAAACACTACTGACTTCAGCCAGAGTTTAGTTTGGATGAGCATGAGTAGAATTCACAGCCCTGAATTCTCCGGTGAAGATGTTAAAGAAGAGGGAACTGGGGATGTCTTTTTCCCCTCGGGTTTCCCATAGAGCTGTGGGGCAGCGGTGCTTTGTCTGCCTCTTCTGACGGCAGCACCTGTTTTCATCCTCTGCTTCAAAGGCAGAAACAGCTTGGTATGTTAGCAGGAACCCGGGATTACGATAAAGAGTGGTTTCAGACTGACAGCAAATTCAACTGCGAGCCAAGGTGTGTATATATATATATACACACACACACCATGCGGAGATGTATTTATAATGAGCTTTTTCCTAAACCCAGAAAATATAATGCTATTCTGTCGGGGCGTCTGAGCCTTGTAGTGTTGTTATTAGGACACAGCAAACAGTTCGAGCTAGAAAAGAGGGAACTGGTTGGTGTTATTCTCCGAATAAACTTTTCCCACTTAGCAGCAGATGATTTTCTTTCTCATGTTCATGCAAAAAAAGAAAGGGATCATTCTTGCCAAGCTAAATGGCCAGTGAATGTTCCTAATCTGTCCCAGCCAGGAGAGGCAGGTAGGCAGAAAGACGCAGAAACCCGAGCACTCCCTGCCCTCCCGATGCCTGTTTTCCTATCATACTCTTCTTTGCTGTATTCATTTTAACACAGTGATTTGGTACTTTCCTTTTCACTGTAAGCAAACTGCTCCTGTGATAGCCCTTCCTTCTCCCTTGGTACAGAAAGGCAGCAAATGAAAACAGAGGGAAAATGGGATAAATGATACGGCCCTGCAAGGTTTGGTTGTTGAAGTAAAAAAAGTGGAATTCTGTTTGTGGAGTAAATAGGGATTTAAAGAGGAATTAAACCAGCTTCTCTGCTGGGCTGTCCTGCCCACCAGCCCATGAACGGTGTCCCACACTCAGCAGCATCCTCAGGAAACGTTCATTCCCAGTCACATCCTGCCCTGAATACATGGACACAGCCACAACCAATGGCAAAGAGCCTAGGGCAAAACAACACCCGAATTTAAGCAGAGCAGACCCAAACCATGGTGGTTTCAGCATCCCCCATGGTGAGTCCCCATCGGGCATGTGAAGGGACTCGCACAGAGCCAGGCACGGAGAGGCGAGGGCAGGGGGTGGCCTCGAGCACAGCCCTCGCCTTCCCCACCTAAACGCAACGCAGAACGTGAACAACTTCGTGTCTAAATTCCTAAACAAGTCTAAAGATTTATGTCCTCCGTAAAATAAAATATTTATATAGCTCTCGGGCACACGGCTCTGAGCTTGGCATAAAAGAGGAGCAGAGACACAGGCACATTCTCGGTATCGGAGCGCATGCATACGTGAGGCTGGCTTTCGAGATATATATATATATGTAACTAAAACAAATCCCTGTTTATTACTCAGTGGAGAAAACTGCAGGTTTTTTACATAAATAATCCCAGTGTCAATAAACTCCCCACCCTGAGCAAACTAAAAGTGATCCCAAAGCAGATTTCTCCCTTTCTCAAATAAATCACCGTTCCGCCCGAACATGGACCTGGCAGCTAGAATTTCCAACTCGCTCCGGAGCAGCGGTGGGATGGGAGCTGGAAACAACCTAAACAAACAGTTTTACAAGTTCCAGAAGCCAAAAGCTCCCCCCACACCCCCCCCACATCCCCCATCCTTCCCCTTTTCTCTTTTTCATTTTAATTTCTTATTTTAATTTGAAGAGCAGGAGGGGTGGGCGCTGCCGCGGTCGCTGGCCCATAGGAAATCGGTGACCCAGGGACATCTGCAAGCCATTAGGACACAGACTTCAGGTAGCTCCCAGAAACACGTGCTGTCCACATTACACCCTCCAAGGATATTTCCACAACTTTACTTCTCCAAATAAACAGTCGGGCTCTCCCTGCATTAGCGAGGAGCTGCACAAACAGGTACAGAGAATGGCAGTTTTATTCCCCTTTCCAATTCTGATGGATTTCTTGTAAGCTGTTGCTGGGCTGTGTAATTCGAACTATCGCTTGGAAAACATAATAGGGCCTGTTTAAAATTAGGGCCATTTATTTATCTGTATGTGACTATGAAACATCAGGTATGATTTGCACAGTTTGCTTCCACGCTACTGCCGCTTATAGAAACTGCATGGAACAACTGGAAATAGAAACTATAAAAAATATACATAAATATTACCTAGAACCCACCAGGGTTTATGACTGGAATAGCTTTTAATTTATAAACAGATTTTATGCCTTCTAAAGCAACGCTACTTCTCTTTCATCTCACTGCACTTTGCGGTGCCACGCGCGTCCCTGCGTGAGCGTGGTGCTGCAGCCAACACCGGCACTGATGCCCTCCTCCATGTATAAGGAAAACTGGAATAAAATAGGTAGAAGGTGACAGTGACCGCTTGTTGCCAGCACTCATTTTAGGGCATTTTAACTTTTTCTGCAGAGCTCAATATTGTTATGAATAAAAACTACATCTTTTGTCCTCATTACTGGAGCTTTACTTCTGGCTTTGATCAGTTTACCCTGAGTGATTCAAACCAGATTGATTTATCTTAGCATCTGATGGAGATCTGCCTCCAGCTCCGGCTGCCACCCGCTCCAAGGGGACAGCCAGGGGATGCTGGGGCTGCAAACAGGGAAAAGCCAAGAGCAGAGCAACAGACAGCACAGATCAGGCCAAAAGCATTCAAGCAAATTAAAGGTGCAGCTCGGAGGGGATTAAAATTAGAATTAATAAATTCTCCTCTTTTTCTCCTAGGAGAAAAACCCAGCACTTTGGGAAGGGCATTTCCATTGGGCTTTAACGGAGCCAGATAAACTTTCCATTTTACCCAAGTTTGCAGAGCTTGGAGCCAAACGCTGCGAGCAAATAAAGAAATAAATATAAATAAGCCCCCAAAACAGCTTGTATGGCTTTGATCTCCAGAAAAAGAGCATTTGTGAAGTACAAGCTTGTGCGCGGTGGTTTCCAGCTGTGGGAGAAAGAGCAGAGAAGGACGGCGAGGTTCTGTTCCTATGGTGGAGCCTGCGCTGGAGCCAGGGAGTGTTAAAGCTCCTCCGGTGCTGCGCAGCGCAGAGCTCCGACTCCAGAACGTGAACGGGAATAAATCCCTCACTGGATTTTCCTGTGGGGAGCAGCTCAGCAAACCGGGGAGCTGCCCATCAGCACCGCTATTTCCAGCAAAGTTTAAAATCCCCGGTTTTCCCCCTCTCCTTTTCTAAGTTTTTTAGCATTTTCCATTTTTTTTTCCACTGGGAAAAAGCCGTTTCTCCAATCTAAACCACCCCAACGCCTTTGCCACCATACGCAACCCAAATCACCCCCAGCAGGATTTGGCCCCCAGCACCTTCATGTTCCCAGGACTATTTTGTAAGAGGTAAATCACGACGCTGTTTCAAGTGATGCTATTTCACCAGCCACAGTGAGTGTGCAGTGATTTAATAGCTAAAACAGACATGGTCGAATTAAGGCTGCCACCCAGCTCAGCCCCTGTAAAGAACCAGCATCATTTTACAGCAGCACCAAGATCGTTCTCCTGAAATTCTGCATTTCTTTCACTTTATTCTACACAGCGAGTCCATCACGAGGGTGATTTTAGGCTTGAATTAAAGCACCGCAAAAGCAAATCTCCTCCAGGCACTTGCCTCAGAGTCTTCAGGCTCCCTGTTTCCTTACACAGCAAAAATGGGGGGGGAACCACCCGTCCTCCAGCTTGCTCACCCACTCCCAGGTCAGCACTTCCCAAGCTTAAATCAACACACCGTGTCATCTCCAGCTCAAGCTGTGGCCGCTGGTGTACGACCACGACAGGCCCAAAAACTGCTTCTTTCTGATCAATACAGTGATGTGACTACACAAAATCAAGGAAATCTTAGCGGAATTTATAGGACAAATGATAATTCTGTCCCCAGTACATCACCAACCAGCTACTGCGCTCTCTCTTTTTTATCTTAACTGTACAATGACCTTCTGATAAAGACACGTTGGAATGTGAAGGCTCTTGAAAAATAAATACCTATAGTACAGAAAGAGACAGGAGCACTGCTCTGTGCAAGGCAGAGCCTGCAAGCTCTGCCTGGGAAGCCAGGGCAGACTTGTCTAACAGCCCCAGTCACCTCCAGAACGGCTCAAGTCCGCCCTGGCAATACAGGCCACCTTGGAATCATGGAATCACAGATGGGTTTGGGTTGGAAATGATCTTAAAGCTCACCCAGTTCCAATCCCCTGCCACATTCAGGGGCGCCTTTGACTAGACCAGGAAGGGGCTTAACATTGACCTCATGTCCCAGGGACTGTGGTCCTACAGCCCTTGGGCAGGTCACCCTATAACCAAAGCACAAGCTCCTGCATCAGTAACTTCTGAGATGGGAAAGAAACAGCAATTACAGTAGTACCTAAATGGGAAAGATGCAGGATCCCTGCCCCGGAGCCCCAAGCACAACTGAAAAAAAAGTGATGGAGATGCATTAACTAAAACACTAACATCATGCACTGCACGTGAACATGCTCAGTGTTGACCACAGGGACGGCTCATCCTTCCCCACTCACAGCCCGGGTTCCTTAAACCTGGAGCGTGCCACGGCTGCTGGGATTATTCCGTGCTTAGTGGGATGCAGCATAATGCTGGTTTTTAACAAAGTGCCATTGTTTAGGAGGAGCAGTTTCACCCAGGGATAGTTACCCAGCACTTAAGTGCACTGCACCACTCCGGAGACTTGCCCCACAAAAGCCACCATCCAAAACCAGACGTTCCTAGATAAATTCAAAGGCACAATCACATCTGGCATTTGCATTTTGTGCCATCATAAAATCATCGGTACAGTTTTGATATCAAAATTAAGGGATCTGATGTGAGAAGGTCTTGGTTGTTGTTTTGGTGGGTTTTTTTAGAGAATCCCACTATAACCCAAATCTTGCTGGTTTGCCCCCGCTTGGCACCGCTGTAAACACCAGCAGGGAGAGCATCCCGAAGCATGGGGAGGCGGCATTCCGATGGATGGGGAGGCAGCATCGGCATCTCCCTGGGGTTCCCATGGACCGAGGGAGACTGATCTGTGCTGGACTGAGGTCAAAGGGATGCAGTGACATCACAGCCTCCCTAGTGATGCCAGCACCCATCAAACAGCCATCCCTCGGCTGAGGAGGAGAGGCACATCGGCTTTAGGAAAGAGCAGAGTGAGTCCAGATCAATGGGAGACCTGAATCAACCTCCCCAGCTCCCACAAAACATCACTAAAACGTAATTTATTCCAGCACAACAGACCTGATGCACATCAGTGCCCTGCTTGTAAGTTTCGAGGGAAAAACCCCACCTTTGCTTCCCAAACTCCTTCCCCCTCTGCTCAGACGCTTGCACAGATTGCTTCCTAAAACACCGTGATTTTACACAAGGCAGGAAAAAGCATCAAACACGGGCTACAATCCTCACCGTTCTCACTCCAAACCTTTCCTGAGACCCGGGATGGCCACTGACGATAAAACAATGTTAAGTCTTTCAAAAGCAAACTTCCAGCCTGATGTAAAGGCAGCGGCAGCTTCTCGCTGTAAAGGCAAACTCCTGACCTTGCAAACCAACGGGGATTAATCAACTTGTCCATGTCGCCTGAACAGTCCCAGGAACAGGAATTGACAGTAACAAGGCAGAAGGTATAAACGGCTGTGTGCTAACACAACTGGGAAGCTCTTTTCCACGTCCCTCTTGTTTAGTGCTCGAACTTGTCAAACCACTTTCTTTTGTTAAAGCAGCCTCCTTTGTCGCGAGAAGGCAGAGTCCCATGCAGCAGACGGGCTCTCAGAGTGAAAAATGTCCTAATTGCTACACTTTTCATTAAATCTATTACCCCCCCCCAAATTGTTCCTGTGTTTCTCTCTGCCAACCCGCAGGAAAACCACGGGACAAGGCTGCTGTCACCGTATTTTTCTCCTCCAGGTGTATTTGTTCGGGTTTTTACTCCAGCTGAGATAAGGACAATCTACTGCCCCAGTGTTCTTTGATGCTCCTATAACAAACACATTTATTAAAAGAGATTTGTTGAGCTAAATTCAACTCGTGCTCCAGCCTAGAGCTAAAACTGCCAAGGGAAAACATTTCAAAGTTATCTCCTTTAACATCTGGGCTAAGTTTACCTTTATCACTGCAAACAGCAACACAGAATTCAGCCTATCTTCTACTGAACCATGCACGCAGCAAAGACATAAAGCTGTGAGAAAGCGTTTTTGGTGCTGCAGGCACGAGAAACCCCAAATGCTCACGCAGAAAAATCCCCCTGTTCTTACAGACAAAGGCTCTGGAAAGAGGACAGGCACTTACCTTTAAACTCACCCAAAACAACTACTTCCCAAAGGCTTACAAGCACAAACAGAAGTTCAAATCTCAGGGTAAGGCAGCAAAGGCGAGCAGGGAAATTGCTTTCAAATGCCTTTATTGAGAGCTCCTGCCCCCGCTGCCTTTTCCCTTCTTTTTCAACCTTTTTCACGTGCCATTTCCAACACCTTTCCAACACTTTTATTAACGCAACGGTGACAGTTGTGACACGGGATCCACACCAGGGCCCCGAGGACTCTCCACCAGGACAAAGGCTCCGAATTCAAGCAGCAACTCAAAGCAGCTCCGATAAAGCACCAACATTTTAACGCTCAAATAAAAGCTTACGGGCTGCAGATTTGGGAAAGGGAGACCTGCTTGAAGGTTTCTCCCCCCCGAAACACGCTCACAGAGCCCAGCGTGCAGGACAGCAGCTCGCTTTGCACACCCGGGCTGCCTTCGCACGCTCCTGCGCTGGATCTGGGTCACTCTCACACCAAGATCCCCTTCTGCTTCAAACCCAAACAGTTATCGCCTCCCGGCTCCCCCCGACACCAACTCCTTGGAGCAGCAACTCGCTAATAAAACGCTTGTTACTGCTCGATCTGCTTTGCAGCGCTCCAAGAGAACCCTGGAAAGCTCCCAGGGCTGGTTTGGTTGCTCTGGTTCCATGGCAAGAGTTGGGTGTGCTCGGCAGAACGTTAGGGGGAAATGAAAGGGGAAGTGGGGGGCACCTCCCGTACCCCTGCCCAGCGCCGGCCCGACGGCGCTGCAGAGCGAGGGAGCGATGCGGCGGGGGGCCCCGGTCCGACGAACAACGTTAGACGGGGATAACCAGAGCGCGGGGCGCGGGACACAAGGCAAAAAGTGACTTTGGGGGTGCTTTCGGTACACGCACCCCCCCCCAGCCCCACGGCAGGGCCGGCCCCGCGGAGGGGCGCGGAGAGGCGCGGATCCCCCCCCCCTTTCCCGGTGCGCGCATCGCGCCCCGCCCCCGCCGCGCCGTTCCTGGGCCTTTGGCGCCCCCTCTGGATGGTGGCGCGCACTGCCCGCGGCTCCCGCTCCGGTCCGCGGGGCTCCGGCCGCAGCCGCCGCGCTCCGCGTCCACCCAACCCCATCCCGCAGCCCCCCGGGAACACCGCGGCGGGGCGCGGAGCGGCGCCAGGGCCCCGCGGTGGCTGCGGGGTGGCCGCGGGCTCCTTCAGAGCCCCGCACCCGCGCAAGGCGCCCGCCCCCCGGCTCCGCTCCGCCGCTACCGGGGCCGCCCTCCTGCAGCCGCCCCTGCGCGCAGCGGAGCGGCGCTGAGCGCCCGCCGGCCCCGCCCCGCGGTGGCGGCTCAGCCAATGGGATGCGCGCCAGCCCCCGGGGGCCGGCCGCCCATTGGCGGAGCGCTCCCGGGCCGAAATCACCGCGCAGAGTATTTATTCCCGCGGCGCGGCGCGGGCCGCAGAGCCGCGCTGGAGACCGGCGGGGCGCGATCGGCACCGCTGCACGGCCACGGCCAGCCCGGCCCCGAGCCGCCCCCCGACAGCCGCCCCCGGCCCCGCGCTGCCCACGGCCGGCCCCGGGCTCTCGCCACGCCGGGGTTTTTTCTTTTCCTCCTCCCGTCTTTTCTCCCCTGCAGTTTGCAGGAGTTTCTCCGCCCGCCTCCGGGCGTTTGGAGTTTTGGGTTTTTTTTTGTTTCGTTCTCTGAGGGCTAGGGGAAAATAATAAGAATAAAAAACTTTCGCAAACTTTTTTCCAGCTTTCCCCCTCCGCTGCGCGCTGCCGGAGGTTTCGCTTCTCCCCGCTTCCCTTTTTTAACCCCTCCCTGCCCCGCAGCCACCTGATTTTACTTTTTTTCTGGTTTTTACGTTTTCATTTTTTCACCCCCTGTCCTCCCCCTCGGCCACTTTCTCGCATGAATCTCCTAGACCCCTTCATGAAGATGACAGAAGAACAGGACAAATGCATCTCCGACGCCCCCAGCCCCACCATGTCGGACGACTCCGCCGGGTCCCCCTGTCCCTCCGGATCCGGCTCGGATACGGAGAACACCAGACCCCAAGAAAACACCTTCCCTAAGGGCGATCCGGACCTGAAGAAGGAGAGCGACGAGGACAAGTTCCCGGTGTGCATCCGGGAGGCGGTGAGCCAGGTGCTCAAGGGCTACGACTGGACCCTGGTGCCGATGCCGGTCCGGGTGAACGGATCCAGCAAGAACAAACCGCACGTCAAGCGGCCCATGAACGCCTTCATGGTGTGGGCGCAGGCGGCCCGCAGGAAGCTGGCGGACCAGTACCCGCACCTGCACAACGCCGAGCTCAGCAAGACCCTGGGCAAGCTCTGGAGGTGAGCGCTGGGGAAGGGAGGGGGTTGCTGCGGGAATGGGCAGGAGGAAAAGGATGGGCTCAAGCCTGGAAAACTCGCGGAAAACTTCTGCATGCGCTGGCAAACTTGCAGGGCGTGGGAGAAGCCACAGGAACGGGGGGGGGGGGGGGGGGGAGTAGGGAAAGTGGTTGCCCCGTCGGGGTTTGCTGGTGGTTTCTTTCCCCTGAGCAATGCCCGAGGGAACGAGGCGGGGGGAATGGCAGGTCCCGTCCCCTCCCAGGCCAGGCCAGCCTCGGTGCGTGTTTGTTTGTGCGCTTGGCCGGAGGAAATGAGGGGTTTGGGGATTGCATCAGCTCGGCCCGGAGAAGAGGGATGGGGGGAACCGAGCGCAGGGTGAGCCCCGCGGGGGTGGGGGGGGGATGAGTGGTGCATGGCTGGGTGCCCTCCGACTGCCAAAATAAGGCAGGGAGGGGAGCAAACCAGCAGGGAAGTGAGTCACCTGGCTGCCTGCTGCTCTGAGACTGCAGAGGAGGGGGGGAATCCTAAACTAGGGGAAGGAGCAGAGCAGAAAGTGAAGCGGCAGCTAAACCACCCCAGGGACAGGACTGTGTCCCCACAGGGGTGGCCGGAGGCAAGGGATGGACCTTGCTGAGCATCCTCTACGGCCACTGACCCTATTTTACAGGGAGCAAGAGGGGGGTGACAACAAGCATATGCCCCAGACACGGGGTTCAGCATTACAAGGGACTTTGCATTACGGGGGATCGAGAGAAGAGCTTTGGGCCGCTGTTAATGCCATAGCGGGGCGGGGGAGTTGCTAATGCCCCCCTAGAGCTGCAACTGATCCCTCATCTCCTATGTACCCCCCAGGCTGCTGAATGAGAGCGAGAAGCGTCCCTTCGTGGAGGAGGCTGAGCGGCTGCGGGTGCAGCACAAGAAGGACCATCCCGACTACAAGTACCAGCCGCGGCGGAGGAAGTCGGTGAAGAACGGGCAGTCGGAGCAGGAGGAGGGCACGGAGCAAACCCACATCTCCCCCAACGCCATCTTCAAGGCGCTGCAGGCAGACTCCCCACAGTCATCCTCCAGCATCAGCGAGGTGCATTCACCCGGGGAGCACTCGGGTAGGTACCCATGAACAGTTGGGGGGGGGGGGGGGGAATCACAGCTACCTAAAGTAAAGTTGATCCTAAACTATGCTGGGATTAGGACTGGGTATGAGGGGGGGAAGAGAGATGCAGAAATACAGTGAGAAGGGGATGGCTGCGCCAAGAGAGGGGCAGTACTGAGCCTTGCCCATAGCACGGGTACACCAATGCACGCCCATGGGTGCCAGTGCCTGCAGCAACTTCCACCCCCTCTGCTTATGCGAAACGAGAACCCATACTTATAAAAGAATAACCCAGAAGATAACCCTGCTGCCGTGGCTCATGTCAGAGTGCTCAGTCATTTTACCCGGCGCAATAGCTGGGGGCTGATAGAGCTCCCGTCTGCATTCCTCACACCTGGACATGCTTATGTTACCCTCCACAACTGCTTTGGGAAGCCATGTGTAGTTATCCAGCCGCCCCACAGACCGTAGGTTAACTATTAACAGCATTATCACGGCCGGCAGCACCTCTTGCCTTGGGGAGCCACAGGCACTGCCCGGCCACCATGGCAGCGACACCCCCTTCATGTCCATGCCCTTTCCTTCCTCCCGCAGGACAATCACAGGGCCCCCCGACGCCCCCCACCACCCCCAAGACGGACACGCAGCCGGGCAAGCAGGACCTGAAGCGCGAGGGCCGCCCCCTGCAAGAAGGCGGCCGGCAGCCGCCCCACATCGACTTCCGAGACGTGGACATCGGCGAGCTCAGCAGCGACGTCATCTCCAACATCGAGACCTTCGACGTCAACGAGTTCGATCAATACCTGCCCCCCAACGGCCACCCGGGGGTCCCGGCCACGCACGGGCAGCCCGGCCAGGTCACCTACACCGGCAGCTACGGCATCAGCAGCACATCGGGCTCGCAAGCCGGGGCCGGCCACGTGTGGATGTCCAAGCAGCAGCCGCAGGCGCCGCCGCAGGCACAGCCGCAAGCGCAGCACACGCTGCCGGCGCTGAGCAGCGAGCAGGGCCCGGCGCAGCAGAGGACACACATCAAGACGGAGCAGCTCAGCCCCAGCCACTACAGCGAGCAGCAGCAGCACTCCCCGCAGCAGCTCAACTACAGCTCCTTCAACCTCCAGCACTACAGCTCGTCCTACCCCACCATCACCCGCTCCCAGTACGACTACACCGACCACCAGAACTCCAGCTCTTACTACAGCCACGCCGCCGGCCAGAGCAGCAGCCTCTACTCCACCTTCACCTACATGAACCCCACGCAGCGCCCTATGTACACCCCCATTGCAGACACTTCGGGGGTCCCCTCCATCCCCCAGACCCACAGCCCGCAGCACTGGGAACAACCCGTCTACACGCAGCTCACCAGACCCTAAAAGCCATTAGAAAAACCAGACAAAAGAAGATATTTCAGAAGAGAAAAAACAACACAAACCAGCACGAAAGCAGCAAGAGAAACAACTTCCACAGACTTTTTCCTTCTTTGAAATTAAAAGTAATAACTAAAGACAATGAGGTTAAAGCTGGCGGGGAGGAGGAAGCGCTTCTGCACTACAGCATCCCCCCGGGAAGTGGCCAGCCCGCTCCGAGGACCAGCAAAACTCGGTGCAGACTTTCCAAGGACTGGACTTAAACTCTGCTTCCAGGAGAGAGGAGACTTGCAACCAGCTCAGCTGCCTTGTTCTCTGGACTTTTGTAATGAGGTTTTTTTAGCAGTTATTAACAAAAAAAAAAAAGGAGAAAAAAAAAATAGGGGGGAAATAAAGCAAAAACTCAGAGTCCTCTGTGAGGAATAATCTCTATTTTAAATATTTTTTAGTATGTACTGTGTATGATTCGTTACCAATTTGAGGGGATTTATACCTATTTTTTAGAGATGTTTGCAAAGCTCTTATTTTTCCAACAGCTAAAAGCCGACACTTAGCGGGGCAGCCCTAGGGTTTCTTGCAGCCAGAGGTATTTTTGTATAGATAAGTGTCTTTCTTTCTCTCTCTAAGAATAAAAGGCATAAAGCAAACGGCCGCGCTGCGACCTGGGGCCGAAGCTCTGGGAAGCGGCCGGCGTTGGGAGGCAGGAGCTGAGCCTGTGCAGGGAGGAGCAGGGGAGAGGCTTTATTTTTCTAACTCATAGTAAAAAACCGGCCGGGAGGAGGTTGGTTTTTAACGTTTATTTTTCCATAACCTTGAGCCTTAAGACAGAGAAAACGGAACAGATGCTGTTCGCAAACCCCGCGGCAAGAGGTGCCGGGGGAAAGCCTTAACCGCAGCCCTGTGCCACTCGCCTGGCCCCATGCTGGGGCAGGGGCTGAGCTCGACCCCTCTGCTCAGCCCTGACCACCCCAGACCCCCTCTACTTGTGGGACATCACAGATACTTTAAGTTATTTATTTTGTGAGAAGAGCAGTTTTTAATCACCTTTTTCCTTTCTTTTTCTTTTTTTAATCTCCTATTTTTAAGCCCTTTCAAAAGCGATTGCATTGGTGGGAGCATTATTTGGAAGGTAACCGTGCCTGTTAAATTATGGTCTAAACTGTAACCAGTCCTTTATTTATCTCTTTAATTCTTTTTTATTATTATTATTATAATTCAGTTTTTGTTTCTGGAATCTGTGTCCTGGGTTTGTACAAACTCGTGCTCTTCCTGGGGTGTTTTTTTTTTTTCTTAATAAGGATAAACTGGAAAAATGAAAAGAAAAGGAACTTGTACAAACTAAAGGTTGCCAATGTAGCGGATCACTGAATCATTTGCCTTGTTTTCTGCCTCAGTTCTCTGGGACACACGAGCTCGGGCAAGGACGAGACCCGAGGCTTCCACCCCCCTTCAAACTGGTGCGAGGTGGGGACGGGACGCTGGGGAAGCTGTGGCTGAACAGTTAAGGATTGCTTTTTAAAAAAGACAGCAAACTTCTTTTTTTTTATTTAAAAAAGAAAAAAATGATTTATTTGTTAACAGTTGGGTTGGGTTTTTTTTTTGGTTTTTTTTTTTGGTTTTTTTTTTAGGGATTCAGTAGAAGAAGAAAGAAAAATCTTAAAGCACTCTTATAATATGGCATCTTCCTATTTCTGTATAAAAGCAGATCTTTTTAAAGTATTTCTGTAACTTAAAAGACCTCTCATTTAAATCATATTTTGTCTTTAGGTAAGTTTTGGTTTTGTTTGGTTTTGTTCGCAAGATCCTTCTCTTTGTGAAACTTACCTTTTTTTTTGTATATTATTGTTTGCAATAAATATACATTGTATTAAAAGTTAAACACCCCATCAGTGTCTGAGTTATTAACAGCCTTCAAGCAAACAGGGCCCTGCTGCAGCCCCAGGATGGTTTTGGCTTCACTTGGGGGGGTCCCCCCTCTTTTACCATCACAGGTCCTGAGTCCAGCATCAACGGGCTCCTCCAGCTCCAACCCCTGCCATGGGCAGGGACCCCTTCCATAGAGCAGCTTGCTCCAAGCCCCTGTGTCCAACCTGGCCTTGAACACTGCCAGGGATGGGGCAGCCACAGCTTCTCTGGGCACCCTGTGCCAGCGCCTCAGCACCCTCCCAGGGAAGAGCTTCTGCCTAAGAGCTCATCTCAGTCTCCCCTCGGGCAGGTTAAAGCCATTCCCCTTGGCCTGGCCCTACATCCCTTGTCCACAGCCCCTCTCCAGGTTTCCTGGAGCCCCTTTAGGCACTGGAGCTGCTCTAAGGTCTACCCCTTAGAGAGCCTTCTCCAGGCTGAACAAGCCCAGGGAGGATGCTCAGCACCAGCTGGGGTTAAGGGGCTACCAAGGAGCTTTGGGCTTTTGGGGCATCCCTACAAAACTGCTGAAGTTCTCCCAGAAGAGCTGAAATCCTCTGAACAACCGAACAGGACACGTACCATCCTCAGAGATCAACCTTATGCTTATATCCCTGCTCTCCCACCGCCCCAGACACGGAGCAAGAACCCCAGCAAGGGGCTTTTCCTCCCGGATAACCTCTTGCTCCAAACCTGCTGCACCCCAGGAGCAACTCACTGTGTTCCAGGCAATCCAGCACATGGCAACGCTATCTCACTCCACCATAACCTCCCACATCGCTTGCCATACCCCTGGCCCTGGCACGCAGTTGTGCTGAGCCTCGCCAGTCCTCAGCCCACTTCCAACGCCGAGAAACGTGCATCAGTGCAGAGGTCAGTGACACAAATCTGTGCGGGTCCTCTCCATCCCCTCCAAGGATGCAGTTATTCACATAAGAAAGCTTTGGGAAAACATCATAACCTGCTGCAGACTCCACGTGGAAGGCGCAGTCTGCACACAGCACACGAGGGTTTGGGACACCTTGGGATGCCCCAGCACATAACAAACCCCATGACACCGACCTATTCAACCGTTGCTTTGCCAACAGTTTATTCTCTCCAGACTCTTTCCCTGGCCAAAATCCCACCTCTGACCCCAGCAGCAAGAGCCTTCCTCCTCGGCGCAGCCCCAGCACAGAGCTCAGGGCTGCACTGCAAAGCCTCCACACCGTTGTACAATATTTACTCTCACTACAAGTAACACTTAAGCCAATTAACTGAAAGGGATTCATTTACTTAGTGCATTAGTTGGGGTCAGTGTCACTATTTACCTGTGCAATCAGCCACCGTGGCCGGTGGGAACGCTTTGGTCCCAGCCATTTCCCCGCAGCACGTGGCGGGTTTCCCCTGCCCCGATCGGACTTTGCCCATTCCCAGTTTTGGCTCTGCTGCTCCTTTGGAATAAAGGAGCAAACAGAGCTGCGGGGTTATGGTGAGGAAGTGCCCGGGAGGCCCGGTGGGATTGAGTTTGGTTCAGTGAACCAGTTGATGTCGTTCTGACACTCAAGCGGGTGGGTTGGGCTGTTAGCAACCAGCTGGAAAACATCCCAAAAACGGGACAGCCTTTGCCTGCCTGTCTCCTGGCGGTCTGGGACATGAGAGACCCTCTGCATCGCCCCAGCTTGCACCAGAACAGCGAGAACCCGAGGGTGGGAGCAGAACAGAACCAGCAGCACTGCGCTGAGCGCCAGCACAGCACTGGGGTCTGCGGTGGCATCGCTGTCCCAACACGTCTCCTCTCCACTCCCCCTCCATGAACCTTCCAGCCGGAAGCATCCCAGGGATATCTTCCTCACAAGAAACCAAAAGAGCAAAGCTCATGACCCAACCCTGGACCTGTAATTTCTGCACTGTTTACTTATGGTGTGGGCTTTAATGCTCTTGGCCTCTGCTCGGGAAAGCCAAAGCTGGACGCGGGTCCCTGGGCAGCTCCCAGCTTCCTGCCCACCCACAGCCGGGGCTGTGCTCTGCATGGGGGGGGGGCACAAAGGGGACACCAGGAGGGAAAAACATGCTGGAAAAGCTGCAGAGCTTGAGGGCACTTTGTGCTAGAAAGCAGAGCAGGAGGGGTGGGGAAGCAGAGACATGAATGGAAGGGAACTCTTACAATGCTGCAGGGCAGGTTTGAGCAGCAGCAGATAAGAGCGGGTGCAGGGACAGATGCGCACCAGGGTGCTGCAATGCTGCACAGCAGGTTGGGGGCAGCGGTAGAGCCCCCCAGCTCCTGCAGAACAACACAGGGTGGGGATGGTGGTGGGCAGCGTGCCCCTGGCTGCTTTCCCTTTGCGGTGCCGTGTTTTTGGCTTAGCGATAAGTTTGCTTTTTCCATACCAAAAAAAAATGGCATTTTCTTCTTTAAATGAACAGGGAGAAGGTTCCAAAGCAGCCCTGGGGAGCCCCCATGGCCCATCCCTCATCTCTACCCAGGTCCCTGCAGTGCCCCTGTTGCGCCGGGCTCAGTGCCCGGCCGGCTCCAGCCACACACAGCTCTGCGCGGCGGCCGCCTGCAGCGGTGTCAGCTGCTCGGCACTGGAGCTTCAATTTGCATTTCCTCAGCCAGCTGTTCCTGTTGACATCGTAGGAAAGCCTTTCTGCAAGGGAAGGCAGCGAGATCGCAGCCAGCTGTGCGGCGGGATCCTGGGATGGGCTGCGGCTCCTGCCCAGCTGCAGCATTTGGGATGTGCAACAGGGATATCGCACAGCAGAGCCGGGCTCGCTGGGAGGCAGCTGGGATTTGCAAGGGTTTCTCCGTTCCTTTCTCGGGGCCCAGTTCCAGGAGTCAGGTGGTTAAATGAGATGGGGATTTGTACGTCAACGTGAAAAGGGAGAGCTGGGTTTCCCTACAAATCACAGCACTGGGCTCCCTCCCGGACCGTGCTCAGCAGATGGGAATTGCTGCACCCCAGGAGAGGTGTCTTAGGAAGGGGGAACCAACACAAGCCCCCCCCCCTTCCTCTGCTGACAGCAGCACAATTTGACTAAGATGCTTGGATTTGATGCTGTAAAGATAAACCTGTCTGGAAAAGGCAGGGAAAGAGGAGACCTTGGAGTTACAAGGCACGGACGGGTCCAAGGGGTAAAAACAAATCAATGCTTAAACATCTCTGGCACAAGGCTGCTCCACACCTTTCAGGCCTTCTCACACTATCAGAGCAGCAGTAGCCGTGGGGATGTGGGTGCAGGGATCAGGTGCCAAGAATGCCCCATGCAATGCTGCAGACCACTGAGCTCCTGCTGTCCCCTCTGCCAGCACCCCAAGGACTTCTCCTGCACCCACATGCCTTGGGTTTGCAGCACCAGCTCCAATAGCAGAAGGCAGAGGGCTAGAGCAAGCGGTTGGGCAGCACCCATCACACCAGGACCACACTAATACCTTGTGAGGGAGGGAAGGACAAGGCTTCCGCAGCCCTCTCCTGCTCCCCCAGCAGCCTTCCTCCTTGAGAAGAAGGCAAAGCCACCTCATTGCAGAATTAACCCCTTTGGAGCAGAAACGGGTCACGATTGAGTGGCCATTCACAGGTCAAGCAGCAAAGCCCAGTGTCCAACCATCCTGCAGATCCCAGAATTCCCAGGAACACGCCACAGACGTGGTGTTCCACTGGCCACAGACACATCAGCATGGGCACAGACATGCCGTAAGTGCTACTGTAATATAAATAATTGATCCTAAGGTGCCTCGGGGGCCATAAAGAGCGCAATTGTTGGCTCCTTGGGTCAGAGCCCACCTCTTTACTACGTGTTTGCACAAGGCCTACTCTAATGGGGCGCTGAGCCGCAATCGGGGTCCTGAAGTGCTATTGTAATACAACTACTAATCATGCAATAGCTGTTATACAAGCAGCCCCTGCTCAGGGCTGCGCTCCGAAGGCTCATAAACCAGGCAAGACTCTATTGAAGTCAACAGGAGCTTGGCCCATGCGCAGGGAGCTGGATGGGAGCTGGATCAGCCAACCCTGCGGCTGCGAAATTCCAGGTTCATTCCACACGTGTGTGTATGTGCTGCGCGCACACGCGTGCACCGAGAGGCTGAGACCATCGGGGGCGAGTAGCTCGAGCTTTGAGACGTGTTGTTTGTCAAGCTGGGGCGGGGAGGGGAGGTATTTCTTCATTAAAACAGAGTCGTGTTTATCAGAGGCACAATAAAAGGCGTTTGAAATAAGAAATCTCAGCAGCGATGGAGGCAGGGAAGGGAACCCAGCCCCCAGACCCCCATTTCTAATTAATTACCTGCCTGGGAGCTGCTCTCTGTTGCAGTGACTGCAACGTTTTACAGGGAGAAAGTCTGAGAGCTGGGTCTGTGCAGCTTACGAGCGCTGCGACCGCAGCGCGCCGGGAGCGGAGACGCAATAACCCAGCTCTTGGGCCCGACACAGAGAGGTGTGACCGGGTCCAAGGGCTGCCCGAGCCAGACAGATGCAGCCATTGAGCCTGGAAATCAGTAAAACTTTAACAAGGCTGCAGCTCCGACTTGAGGAAACCCAAAGGCTGGGGAATGTGTGGTTGTCCTGAGACAGCCACGTGCAGAAAACACCCCTACGGGGTGCGAGCTGCGGAGGTACCAGCACAATGACAACCTGGCTCCATCCACTGCCCTGCAGCTCCA